GAGAATCGGGAAAAAAGGGGAAAAAATGGGATAAAAATAAGAAAAAAGGGAGAGAAATCGGGAAAAAAGGGGGAAAAATTAAGAATAAAGGAGATAAATGGGAGGAAAATGGGATAAAAATAAGAAAAAATGGAGGGAAATGGGGAAAAAAGGGTAAAAAATAAGAAAAAAGGAAAGGAAATGGGGAAAAAAAAGTAAAAAAGGGAGAGAAATCGGAAAAAAAGGGGGAAAATTATGAATAAAGGAGATAAATGGTAGGGAAATGGGGAAAAAAAGGGGAAAAATAAGAAAAAATGAAGGGAAATGAGGAAAAAATAAGAAAAAAGGGAGGAAAACGGGGAAAAAAGGGAAAAAAAGGAGGGAAATTAAAGAAAGAAACCCCCAAATCCCCCAGCCCGGAATTCCCAGGAAAAAAAGGATCCAAAAGAGATAAAAAAGGGAAATTTGGCTTTTTTTGGGGAGGAATCCAGAGGATTTTTTCCCTTTTTTGTTGTTTTTTGTGGATTTTCCGAGCCCCCCGCGAGGGTGGGGAAAGGAAAGCCCAAAATGGGAATTTTGGGGCGGAATTTTGGGATTTGGGGATGGGAATAAAGCGGAATTTCTCCCCGAGGAAGCCAAAAAAACCCAATTTTATCCCAATTTATGCCTTCACGCCTGGAGGTTTTTAATGTTTTGAGTCCTCCCGGGCTGGTTTGGGGCTGGATTCCGGTTTTTAATTAATTATTATTATTTAATTTCTTTTTAACGGCGCAGAGGGGGGAAAGAAAAATAATTCCGATTTCTCCTTGGGAGAGCAACCTGTGGATATTTATTTATTTTTAGATATTTATTTCTGGGTTTTATGGGATTTATTGGGATGGGAAAATTCCCTTTATGAGCTCCCCGTCCTTATCCAGCCTTGGGATGGAGCCGGAGCCATAAAAAAAGGGATTTATTTGGGTTAAAATCCCGAGGTTTTGTTCAATTCTGCGTTTTGAATTTATTTCATTTTTATTTCTCTGTCCCTCTTTGGGTCCCTGGCCCCAAAATCTCCGGGATTTTCCCCAATTCCTGCCTGGAATTCCGGGATTTGGAACTTCAGGGAGGGGCGGGAGCTGCCAGGAATTTCAGATGCTTTGGGAGAATCCCTAAAAAAAAAATCCCCCAAAAATCCAAAATCCCCCAAATCCAGGGGGAAAAAACCCAAATACGGGGGGAAAAAAAACCCCAAATCCAGGGAGAATAAAAATCCCCAAATCCAGGGAAAATAACCCCAAATCCAAGAGGAAAAAATTCCAAATCCAGGGGGTAAAAAACCCTAAATGCAGGAGGAAAAAATCCCCAAATCCAGGGGGAATAAAAGCCCCAAATCCAGGGGAAAAAAACCCCAAAATTCAGGAAAAAATAACCCCAAATCCAGGGGAATAAAAACCCCAAATCCAGGGAAAGTAACCCCAAATCCAGGGGAATAAAAACCCCAAATCCAGGAAAAAATAACCCCAAATCCAGGGGAATAAAAACCCCAAATCCAGGAAAAAATAACCCCAAATCCAGGGAAAATAACCCCAAATCCAAGGGAATAAAAACCCCAAATCCAGGGGATAAAAAAACCCCAAATCCAGGAAAAAATAACCCCAAATCCAGGGGATAAAAAACCCCCAAATCCAGGGAAAATAACCCCAAATCCAGGGAAAATAACCCCAAATCCACATTTGGGATCCCCCCTCCCCCTCCATCCCATTTCAGACCCAAATTTCCGCCCCCCAACCCCAAATCCTCCCCCGGGGGGGAATTCCAGGGGCGATCCCAAAACCTCGGGAATTCCTCTTCCCCCTTTTATTTAAATCTTTTTTATTTTTAATTGCGGCTCTCCCTAATTAACCCCTGCCCGCTGACGTCATCGGGCTCCCACCTCACCCAGCAAAATTAAAAATTAAAAATAAATCCAAATAAATTAAAAGAAAACCCCAATAAAATCCGATTTCAATCGAATTATTTTTAATTTTTTCCCCCCCCTTTTTTAAATCTCCCGGATTAAAAGGAAAAAAAAATAAAAAAATCGGGATAAAATCCCCGCTTTAATTTTGATTTTTTTTTTTTTTAATATAAAATAAAACAACCCCGCCAGGCGGGAGAGCACAAAAGAGCTCCGGCGACTGATTTATGGCTTTTTACAACCCCATAAAAAGCTGGAACAAGCGGCCCCAAAGCCTCCGCCACCGCTGGCGCATTTAGGGCTAATAAATAAAACATAAACAGTTAACTTTATGTGTCACTTTTATTGTTAGCGAGTAAAATATGGCAAAAGCGCCGCCGGCCAGGAGGATTTTCTGGGATAATTGTTCACCCGGCAGCGGGAAGGGAGACCCCGAGGCCTCGGGGGGTGGAAAAGAGGCCAAAATCCTAAAAAAAAAACCTTAAAAATGAGTTTTCCGCCCCAAAAAACCCCTTTTGTTTGGGGGGATTGGGGAGGGGGTGGGTGGGGAATGGGATTTTTTTTTTTTTTTTTTTTTTTTTTTTTTTTTTTTTGGGGGGGTGGGGGGGGGGGGTTGGGG